CTGCGTGACTGTTTACACAAACTACGAACGTCCTGAACTCACGAGGCAACATCCACACGCTTTAGGTCTTTTGACCTAATATTACACAACCTTTCTTTTCTCTAGTCAGCAATATTCTGTTTCTGGCTCCCGCCTCCCCTCCCTCAGATCCACTACAGCTTCCCATACATCAAGTAGCTCAACAGCATTGGCTAGCTTATGTAGTGGGTGATAGCAATATGCAAACTTTACTCAATGATTATAATTTAGCAACTTCTCTCTGAAGACCTGAAGGCCTTGGGGTTCAAGACCATTTGCTTAGACAACCATCACTCAGCAATATGGCAGAAATCATTCCTGCACTGAGTGGGAGATAGACCTGACAGGCCTCAGATGCTTTTCAACTCCAAGTCTCAGAACTCATCGTCTCTACCGTTATTAACTAATATTAGTTAGTTTGTTTTATTTACATAAATCTCACATGACACTTTGCTATGAGCAAGAAGGTTCTGAAAGGAAGAAGAACAGGAAGCTAGAAATGGCAAAGGGCAAATGTCACCATTTCTCCTGGGCCTTGGGATTTCAAGGTCAAAATAAACAGTCTCGTCCGGCTGCAAGTAGAATGTTTAAGTTGTCGCTTTTCTGTCTACACCTCCCCAACCTTGCCACTCCTCCCCTCTTTGCTACAGCGCTACACCTTCAGTCTCGCTCCAGCTTCCCACTTCTTTGAAACGGAGATGAAAGAAAGGGAGATTTCTGAAAAGCGACATGCTTATGAAAGCACGTTCGATAGACGGTGACCAGGAAGTGCCATGATGAAGGCTCGCCGCTTCTCGCAAAGAAAGAAGTGCCTTTCCTGAGCCTGCTCCTCTCAGTTGGCTCAAGCACAGAGCTGTGTCTCTGGACACTGCCGAGCCGGGGGGTAACCTGACCTGGCCTCAGTAGAGGGCAAGAACCTTTGCACTGCAGACAGCCATGGGCCCTGCAAGACTCCGTGAGCTGCCGGAGAAAGAGCATCAACGCATTAATGGACGAGGACCCATAATGCTACCAGACACGGTCCGCTCAGGTTAATTGCAGTCATCCACAAGCAACAACCGGTGCTCTCCAGCCAACTCCAACTCCTGTGTGTCAGAATAAAATTGTGCTCCATTGGGGCATGGCTTTTATAATGTTTTATTGATATTTGGTAAAGTTAACAAAGCAAATTCACTTCTCACTTAATAATTTCTATGTATATTGTTCAGTGACATTTTCCACAACGTGTCAGCATTTTTACTATTTCCATTCTGCTCCTGCTTTTTGTGTTTTCCTTCATGTAGCTTCTCTGTCCCACCTCCTGACTCCCACCTCCTCCCTCTCTCATCTCTGCTTTAGGGCAGTGGTTCTCAGCCTTCCTCATGCCACCGCCCTTTCGTACAGTTCCTCATGCTGTGGTGACCCCCAACCATAAGATTATTTTTGTTGCTACTTCATCACTGTCATTTTGCTACTGTGATGAATCGGGCGACTCCTGTGAAAGAATCGTTCGACCTCCAAAGGGGTCATGACCCACAGGTTGAGAACCATTGCTTTAGAGTAAATGCTGACTGTTTGCTCTCATAAAAACAATTATTTAAGGGAAAAAGTGAGTGAAAATTGACTGCTTTTGAAACAAAATCACACGGTTTACTATTCCAGAAAGGTTAATGAGATGGGATTTGCTGTTACAAGCTAAATTTTTTTTGACAAACCAGTGAGATTTATTTTCAGGGACTCCTGCTGCCAGCCCTGATCTTTCATGTCTTTGTTGCAGCTTCTCTTGTCCTCTTTCCTCTAGCTCTTACCCTTACCTTAGGGGTCAGTTATTTAAAAACATGAAAAAAGGTAAGCTTTTAGGTCCAGGAAGTATTGACAATTTTATTTAGAAATGTAAAAAAGTCTCTAGATCTAAAAGCAAGGGATCTCCATGGGAGACATCTTACTAACAGAATATGCTTGGAACAGCTCAAATCATACCCCAGCCAACCCTGTCAAGGTGCCTTGAGTTAAGACACCTGACTTTGCTTTGCTTTGCTTTTCAATCATTCAAGTCAGATTTTTCATTTTCATCTACTGTAATCATCTTCACAGTACTACCTGTCTGATAACCTGGCTATTCCTGCTATCCCCCTGATAGTGGCAGAGGGAAATCATTGGAGGCTTATTCTGTGTGTAGACACTGCAAATGTATTTTAGGCTTCCACTGTCATCTACAGCAGCAGTTCTCAACCTGTGGGTAGCGGCCCCTTTGAGGGTTGAACGACCCTTTCACAGGGGTCGCACGATTCATCACAGTATCAAAATCACAGTTATGAAGTAGCAACAAAATAATTTTATGGTTGGGGGTCACCACAACATGAGGAACAGTATTGAAAGGTTGTGGCATTAGGAAGGTTGAGGACCACTCTCTGTAGCCTTCTGTAAACCTGAATTTCACAATTTAAGCTCTGATAGTTTTCCCTCCTTCAGATTTGGATGATATTATTTATAATCCTTGGATCATGTAGGCTGCTGTGCTTCTTCCATGTGGGCTCAGCTGATATCTCATTTAGATGACAACATTTGAAAACAAGCCTTTAAGACCCCGGATGCTGTACTTCCTCATAGCCAGACCCCATCAAGAACAATTTGCTTTTCTCATTACCACCTTTCACAGAAGGGACAATGGCAACTTTAGTGAAGGGTGAAGGTGGGGGGAGGTGAGAGTGGAGACATAGAACTAAAATTCAAATTGAAGCAGTATATTTCTTTTCTTTTTAGTTCGTATATCATACAATTCAATCGTTCAATCACATCAAAAAGAATTGAACAATCATCACCACAAGCAGTTTTATTACATTTTCTTCATTCTTTTACTCATCTTTAGTAGCTCCCCATTCTCCATCCCCAAACCCATCCAAACCTTACCTACCATACCCCTAAAGAACCATTATTCCAGTTATTGTGTCTGTAGATTTACCTCTCCTGGCTTCCATATACAGAAAGGCATTTAAAAACAAAACAAAACATAAAAACTAATAACAATACAGAGTATGACAGATAAAAATCTCAGTCAAGTAAAAGCAGAAAATATGAAAAACTAAAACATTTTAAATGGATCAAAGGGGAGATAAAATGATAAAAAGTTCAATTTTTTTATTTACAAGCTTTTCTTTTTTTTAAATAATTTTATTGGGCTCATACAACTCATCACAATCCATACATACATCAATTGTGTAAAGCACACTTATACATTCATTGCCCTCATCATTCTCAAAATTCGCTTTCCGCTTGGGTTCCTGGAATCAGCTCCTCATTTTCCTTTTTCCCC